TTTTTTTTAATCCTAAATACACTTAGGTAAGGGGAATGGGACTGATTTCTGAGTAGACTGTGTTGTGATTCTTCCTGCAAAACCTGTTGAGCAGCAAGGGAAGGCAGAAGTCCAAAAGCACTATGTGAATATAAATCAGGATGGTGTGAATTGCAGAAGGGTATGCCAAGAACTGCATTTTCTTTTTCTTTTCTTTTTAATATAATTGTTATTAAGAATTTTGATTACAGTAGTAAAAACTAATACAAACTAAACTTACACATACAGAAGAAAATAGAAAAAAATAATAAAAAATGCAGGAAAAAAGAAGAAAAAGAAAGAATATAATAAAAAGAAATATATAAGGAAGTAACTTTCAACCTTCATCTACTAAACCTACTAAACAAATTTAGTAACTCTTCACCCCCATAAGGTTACAAACAAATATCTCTTCATCCCATATCCCATCCCTTGTCTATAAGCTAATCCATAAAACATAAACTTTTCAATCCTGGTGTCAGCAAAAAGTCATAAAGTTTGCCAGAACTTTGCAAAAGATGTCTTATTTTAGCCTTGATCAAATAAACCAACATCGTAATTCTTTCTTTTACTTCTAACAGTCTTAATCTTTAATTCAAATAGTGTCATTGGATCTGATTTCTTTTCGATTCTTTATCCCATTGCACAGATTTCTTCAAGGCTTTAACAAGCCTCTTTTGTAGATCCACTAAGAAAATATTTTCCAGGTCACTCTCTTGGTTTATCATTTGTATTTCCCTTTTCATTTTTAAAACTTCAGCCAGTTTCCTTTGTATGTCCAGTAAAGTGTCCTTTTCTCTGAGCTGTCACTTGTAGTTCCACTTTTGGTACTTTCTCTGTCTTGTCAGATAAAATATGTTCCACATCTGTCATTCCTTAACATCTTTTGGACAGACATAGTCTATCCACAGAAGCAGACATCTTCACTGGTGATGTTGATATTGTCGTTACTAATTTCTGGCTCCATTCTTCAAAGATCTCCTTTAATGTTTCCAAATGTTATAATGTTTTGTGTCATTTTGTAAGTCCCAATATTAACTGACATCAAGAGCAGGCTTGTATTTTTTTTCCCCTTCTGCTCAGAATCTTTAGTCCCCTCTGGTGTCCAGTTTCTAAAATCATAAAATAACTTATCTTTGTTATGATTTACAATAGCCAAGATAACCAAAATAAGTCTGTTTCTCATGAGAAGCTATTTATTTTTCATAGTTAATTCCAAAAACTTATAGTAAATGTCAATATTCCAAATTTATCTGGACCCCTAATCTGTTTGTAACTTTCTTAGATCAAAATCTTATTTAGCTTTTTGCTGCTTATTTGACATTCTTTCAGCTTACAATTTTTCTTTTGTCAGGGTTGAAAATAACTCTGAACAAAAGAAAGATGACTTTCAAACTTGTCATTCGGAAGGTCTCTAATAGCTTTTAAAATGGTTGATAGACAATTTCCGAAAGTTATTAGAAAGTGAAGTTTGTGGACTTCATGTCCTTTAAAAGGCTCCACGGTTGCGAGCAAGATGACTGATCCCGTTATCTCCCAGTGCTCAAACCCGCAGAAAACCGCTGCCCTGCAGTCTCCCCATGAGGAGCAGCCATCCAGAGTACAGGTGGGCAATCTCTTGTCCTCTCCATGTCCAGAGAGGTTCCGAAGAACCAGTCTACTCACCGGTTCCTTGGTCTTTGCTGTGGTCAGCAGCTCTGGTTTCATGGAGACGTCTTCAGTTTGCCATGCCTTCCCTGGAAGTCCCCAAGAACTGCAATTTCAGGAATTTGGTCCCTGTAAAACCTGAAGATTTTAACCTGAAGATTCCTAGGCTTGAAGTACATTGCATAATATGGAAATACTGATAGCATTTGAAGGCATAAACCTGGGCCACAAATGAGAAATGCAAAAAAATCCCCAAATCTTAAGTATGAGAGAGTTAAGATACTGAGTTTGGAATAAGCGTAAAAGTCAAAGTGTATAAGTGTTTCAGATTCAAACAGTTTGAAATAAAAACACCCTTCTTGACGTTTTTTTTAAAAGTTGCTTTGAGCCTTTGGTAAGCCTTTGAATCTCAAAGCGGTGTTCCCAACAGGACACTTCCATAAAGTTTAAAACAGCTCACTTTGCACTCAAAATGGGGGGCTTGGAGTTTGAAAGGACTGTACAGCCTTGCTTAGAAGGAGGGGAAATTTGAGAAGTGCAGAAGTACATGGTGTGGTACAAAGTTTCTTTGTTTTCTAAGCACTGGACACACCATAACGTAGCACAGTGTTTCTCGACCTTGGCAGCTTGAAGATGGGTGGACTTCAGCTCTCAGAATTCCCCAGCCAGCCATGCGGGCTGGGGGATTTCGGGGGCTGCAGGCCCCCCATCTTCATAGCGCCCAGGGCGCGAAAAACTGGGGTAGCCGAATACAGTAAGA